CTGTTGTTTATGAAACTCTCTTCTTTTCTTAAGGCATGGCTGGTGCCAGAAGTTGAAATGGTTGGGCACCTGCTGAAGGACTACACCCCAGCAGGGGGCAACTAACAGAAGGAGTTGCCCTTCCACTTCCCCATTGCAACCTGCTTGTCCACACATCTCTTGCCCTGGCCTAGACAACGGGGATGGTGGGGAAGAGAATGTGCCACCTACCTGATCGCTGGCTCTCTGCCTATTAAGCAAGCAGTGCTGAGGAAGGGCGAGGAGCAACCTCAGATGGTTGCAACCAGCCCAGTATTAAAACTTACAAAGCAAACATGAAACCACAGCAAATATAGAATCACAAAGTGGTCACTAATTACATCAGTTTTCCCCCAACAGAATGCCTGCTGCCGTGGTCTTGCCTTGGCTGCATTCCAGACCTAGTCACCACAACTGTGGTGGGAGGGAAAAGGAACCTTCCTCTCGCCTTCTAGACCAGAACTGGGGTGCAACGACCTGAAAGAGGTGCTGCTGTTGAAGTGAATGAGCAGGTGTGTTCAGTCATATAGAGAACAAACCACTCTGGGAGGAGCTGCATCTCAGTGGTAGGACACACGCTGCACATGTAGAAGCTCCAGGATCAGCTCCTGGTATCTCCAGGAAGAGCTGGAAAAACTCTTCCAGCTGCCTGGAATTTCAAAGAGATGCTGCCCACCAGTTCAAGCAAATCAAGCCCACCCTATTATTAGAAACATAGAAACTGAGTGAGTCAGAAGGGGCCTCCCACGCCATCTAGTCTGACCCCCAGCTCCAGCCTGCTCCACTCATGGCAAGCCTACCATGTGCATGTCCAGCCTATCCATAAACACCATCACCGATGGGGCTTCATCCACCTCCCACGGAAGCCCGTTCCATACCCTTGGGGTCCTGTCAGGAAGTACTTCCTGGCATCCACCCTAAATCTTGGTTCCCTGAACTTTGCTCCATTGGAATGTGTCCTACCCTCCACTGCAGGGGAAAAAAGGTCATGCCCCACCTCTGCATGGCACCCCCTCATGTACCTGTATGTTGCTAACAGATCCCTTCTGAGTCTCCTCTCAAGGCTGAAAAGCCCCAGCTCCCTCAGTATCTCCTCATATGGCTTACCGTGCAAACCGGCCACCATCCTAGTGGCACTTTACTGCACCGATTCCAACCTGGCTATATCCCTCTTGTAATAGCCAGAATTTAACACAATACTCCAGCTGTGGGTGCACCAGAGTAGTATAGAGTGGCAGTAATACCTCTCTCGATCTAGAAGCCACGCTTCTGGCTATCCAAGCAAGGGTGGCTTTTGCCCTCTTGACTGCTGTGTCACAGTGCTGGCTCATGTTGGAAGGGACGGGACGGGACGGGACGGGACGGGACGGGACGGGACGGGACGGGACGGGACGGGACGGGAAGGGAAGGGAAGGGAAGGGAAGGGAAGGGAAGGGAAGGGAAGGGGGGTCCCTCAGACAGCAGATGCTGGAAGATGGGCAGCAGAAGTGAGGTGCTGGAGAAGAGCTGTGTGTGTCGCTTGACTAGGCCTGGCCTGGGATAAAGCAACTTCATATGAAGTAGAGTCAGACTGATGTTGTGACTGGGGTGCTGGAGTGGGGGCCAGGGAGATCCAGATTCTAATCACTCAGCCAGGAAGCTCAGTGTCTTTGAGCCAGTCATGGACTCTCAGTCTACTCACAGGGGTGTAGTTGCAAAGATAAAATAGAGTGGAGGAAGATTATGTAAGACGCCTTGGGATCCTCACAAGAAGAAAGAAGGCAGGGTATAAATGCAATATAGCCAGAAGACTTTTACTGAAACTCCCAACTTCTACAGTAGCCTGGGATACTCCAGTGTATTCTCAGGACATACTGACAACATGGGTAGTCGTGGAATTGTGGGTCATTGTATTATGTGAGTCCAGCCATGCTAAGTTAACCACAATCAACCCTGAGCCATTCAGTGTTAGCAATCCATGGTTTGCTGGCATGGCTGAGTTCACACAACCCAACAAGCCATGATGCAACAACCCACTGTTTTACACAAATGCATACGCGATCCATACACTGACTTGTGGTGTTTTGTGAACCAAGTCATTGTCTCCTACTGCTGCCTCTGCAGTCCAGGCCATACAGACACACAGTTACAAAGCCTGGCCAGGGTTGGGGAGTGCAGGAAGATGGCAGATTAAAGTTAAATACACCAGATGAAGCCAGATGAATGAAAGAGGAAGCAGATGTACAGCAGCTTAATCACTATTCTGCTTCATTGTGCCAGATGCCTCTTAATCAGTGAGCTGTTAGGGCAATTTTGAAATCCATGTTTACCCAAAATCTATCAGATAGGGCTACTGATTTTTGATGATCTTGTCCCGAAGAATATACAGTTGATGGGTTGAGCAAGCTAAAAGGATAGCTATCTGCTAGGCACTTAATACTGTAGGTGGCAAACATATGTAGAAGATATAAGAATTGGTTCTTTAAAACTGATAGTCCTGAAATTTAAGATGAACTGAAAAGTAGCTGATCAAACCAAGCAGGTCATTCACTGGCAAAATGTTAGGGAATGCTGCAAGCCAGTAAAATCCAGGTCATTGTGTTTTGTCTACCAGGATTTTAGTCCTATAGGTAGCAAAGGCTTAATGTAGATTTTTATATATTTACATTGTACACAAGAGACAATAAGGAGATGATGACATGCAAATCCTAAAAGCAGGAAATAATAGAACGCTGCCCTCTTTTATTAGGCAGCCCTAACTCAAAAGCCTGAAAAGGTTTGGATGTTAAGGCTGGCAGAACAATGCATTTCTCAGAGTCCCAGATGCCATGAAGGAACTGAGAGCTAAGTCAATATTTTAAAATATCTACAAATTTAACCCCCCCCCCCTTTGGGTGCCACTGAATATGCTGAGGGGTGCTGATAGTATCCCAGATGTGCTGCCAGGAAGCCAGACTGTCCCACTGGACTGGTCTCCCAGGAGGGTCACCCATGGCAGAACGGTCAAAGTGGAGAGACCAGACTAAGATGCATCCACCCTCTTCAGGAGGAACGGAATGGTAGACTAGATAGAACTTTGGTCAGATCTACTATGGCTCTTCTTACATTCTTATGAAATGTAATAAACGAATATGCATATTCTGGTGACAGACCCATTTGATTGAAATTTCCATTGGATATGCCCACTTTCCATTAGATTTTAGGCAGGATGCCATTGTGGGACTGGCTTGTGGCAGTGTTGTTGTTATGTGTCAGCAAGTCACCTCCAACTTAGGAAGGAAGGCCCTCCAAAATGTCTCATCCATGACATCTCTGCATAGCTCTTCTAAACTCAAGGCTGTGGCTTCCTTTATGGAGTCAGTCAGTCACTTGTTTGGTCTTCCTTTTCTTCTGCCATTGACTTTCCTGGCATGACCGTCTTCTCCAGTGAGTCTCACCTTCTCATGATGTGCCCAAAGCAGGACAGCCTCAGTTTTGTCATTTTTGCTTCCCGGGAAAGCTCTGGCTTGATTTGCTCTAGGACCCACGTTTGCCTTTTTGTCAGTCCAAGGTGCTTGCAAAGCTCTTCTCCAGCACCATATTTTGAACATGTCAATTTTCTTCCTGTCAAGCTTTCTTCACTGTACAGCTTGCACATGCATGCAGAATGATTGGGAATACAATGGCATGAATGATTTTGGCCTTGGTCTCTAGTGAAATGCCCTTACCTCTGTTGATCTCATACTTCTCCAGTCCAGTGCCTTCCACATGTTGACTACAGCTGCCATCAGCCTCAGCCATAGTGGCTGGCAATGATGGGTTTTGCAGTCCAAGCTATCCGAAGGGTGCCAGGTTGAGGAAGGCTGTTCTGCCTTTTAAGTTTTCCTGAGAAGAGGCCAGGCCACAAGGACCAAGGATCTTGCCTTGATGGAAGATCAGCCCTGGCCAAACGAGCCGTCTAGGCTGTGATTCATTTTGATAGGTGCTATGTTTGTATAAGTTTGCATTCACTCTTCTGTTAATGTCACAAGAGTGAACCATATGCATGGAAGCTTAAGCTCCATGCATCTTCAGTGACCTTAAAAACTTTCAGGAGGTGGATCATTTTGTCAAATGAAGCACTTCCTGGTTCCTTTCAAGTGGAGATTATACTCAAGTGGAAGAACCAAACTAATTATGAGTGGGTAGGCTTTTTCTACAGTCCCCACTGCCTGCCTGCACAGATAAAAATGAAAGGATGGCAGTGGAATGCATAGCAAAAAGTGGGATTTTCTCCAACTAAGTATGCAATGCCCGGATTGTGGCTTTAATCTACAGGCAGAGCCTTAAATAATCCCGAGGCTTGGTTTCCACTGGGATCACTGTTTGTTTGCATGCTGGCTGGGATTTACTCCCAGTAAAGTGTGCAAGGATGGGATTGCCGCTTTCCTCTATGGGTGGAGCCAGAAATAAATAATCCAGTTGAGTTAAATGGGATTGACGCTGCCTTCCATGGGGATTTGAATCCCAATGAAACGTGCAAAGATCGGATTGCAGCTTGAATCCACAGGCGGAGCCTTTAAACACATACAGAAGAAAGGAGCACAAGAAGCGCCAGGTGTAGCTCAAGGTGATCCATAGAGGGCGGAGCCAGAGCCACGCAAGCGGAGTTAGGGCACAAGAAACAGCTGCTTGCGCATGCGCACTGTGTTTGGAGGGGTCCTGGTTACGACGGAAAGCGAGGGAAAAGTGAAAAGTGATTGGTCCGTTTCTTAAAAGGGGTCAACGCTTCTCCCAATCAATCCAGCATCGCTTGCGAGGCGCGCGTTCAGATCGGCTCCTGCAATTACATCTGCGCCGCTCCAGGAGGAAAGATGAGAGGCGCCGTTAGAACTCTATGGTCGAAACGGAGAGGAACAGGAGCAGCAGAGCGCGCAGGCGCAACAAGGGGAGGCGTGAACTGCAGCTCCTGATTGGCTCGCTTCCTCTTTTCCCTTTCTCTCTTCGCCCCCACCGCCGCCGCGCCGCCGCCGCCGCAGGGTAACTATAGAGATAGTCTCCTGGAGAGTAGCGGAGTCGGGGTCAGAAGAGGCGAGGGCCGCGACCCGGAAGTGGATCTTCGCGTGCCGCCGAGCCGCACGAGCGGAGCGGGGAGGGACCGGTGGTGCGGGGGTAAAGAAGAACAGCTGCAGCAGTAGCCGAGGAAGAGGACGAAGGACCCGAGACGTCATGGCTGCCGCCGGCTCGGTGCGAGCCCTTCTTTGACCTGCCGACCCCTCCTTCCCGGCTTTTTTCTCACCATGGACCTGCTCACCTCAGGGAGTAGCCGCCGCTGAGAAGGGCTGTGCGGCTCTCCTGCCCCGTCCCCCCTCAGGCAGATCTGCGGCCCTTTCCTTTTGGGCCGCGGCCTTTCCCCCCGTCCTGTGGGGAGGAAGGAAAGGGCTCGGCTAAGCTTCTCACGAAGTCTGCTTTCGTGTAGATGTAGTCAGGGAAGGTTTTGGAAGGCCTAAGTGTGGGGGCCTTCTAGCCAGCTTAGGTCCTCACTCTTTGGATGGGCTCCTGTAAGGATAGGACTCTTTGGGGAGCACCGTTTCGAAGGGTGGGCTTCAGTTTGGAGGGGAACAAGGCCCTAAGATCCTCTGGGAGTCTAGATTAGGGCTGTAAAAAGATACCTGAGAACTGGGAAGGGTTTCTGGAGGGGTAGAGTTATACAGTTGTTGTTGCCATCGTTCTTACTGAGGGGTTTTTTGTTTGTCTTTTGTTTTGGTAGCGGGTGCATAAAATGGGGTCCTAAATAGGTACTGCCAGATCTAAAAAGAAACTCTGGTGGACTGGATTTAACAAGCTTCTGCTTGGTCACTTCAGGTAGATCCAAATGTAGTTTAGTAGTATCTTTGGGTTTCATTTAGGAGGAGGAGGATTCTGTTGGGGTCATGCCAGGTTTTCAGATCTGGGTTAGGTGACAGTTTCCATGTTGAAGAATAGGAGTGTCTGGAGGTGTGAAAGGTGACTGCAGCTTGTTGGAGGAAAACACTCCTTATTGGAGGTTGGGTGTGAAACAATGGTCTTGGATTCCAGGAGATATCTTTGGTTGCCCCATAAGTAAAGGACTTCTTGAATGTGGAGATCTAGATTCATTCTGTTAGTGAAAACTAAGTTGTAACTATTCTGTGTACCTTGAGGGGTGAGAGTTCATCCATTATTTCCTGTGAATCCCCCCTCCCCCTGCACTCTCCTTGCTGTGGTTTTCCATCAAGTGTTTCTGATGCCAGAACAAGGCCCCAGAATGAACGGTTTCTCTCTGGGTGAGCTGTGTTGGCTCTTCTGCTGCCCACCTTGCCCCAGCCGCATAGCAGCCAAGCTGGCTTTTCTGCCCCCAGAGCCTACTTACACTGTGATGCAGCCTGAACAGCCGGAAGCTGCAGCTGCAGTAGGAACTCCAACAGGTAGCTGCAGCCTGCACTTGACTGAGCGGGCAGACTGGCAGTATTCCCAAAGGGAACTGGATGCTGTGGAAGTCTTCTTTTCGCGCACAGCCCGAGATAACCGGCTGGGATGCATGTTTGTGCGTTGTGCTCCTTCCAGCCGGTATACACTGCTTTTCTCCCATGGCAATGCTGTTGACCTGGGCCAGATGTGCAGCTTCTATATTGGCCTAGGTTCCCGCATCAACTGCAATGTCTTCTCCTATGATTATTCTGGGTATGGAGTGAGCACTGGTAAACCATCTGAAAAAAACCTTTATGCAGACATCGATGCAGCTTGGCAGGCCCTCAGAACAAGGTAAATTGGGAGTTGGATAAAGTGCTTGTGAAAATGGTGGAGGGTCTTTCTGATTGTACCTTTGGGATGTTTGCTTATTTGCTTCTTCTTTGTAGTAGAATGACTAAAAAATTTCCTGTTTTTATGTAGTTATGCTGCCTGCTTGTTTTTTGCGTTGGTGATTCATATGACCATGCCAGAATCCAAAAAATGTGCAACTAGCTCTTTGCATCTAAGGGAGCTTGTGTTCCTTGAACAGCAGTCTCTCCATGCTGCCTAGCAAATATCTACTAAATCTGAGTGGGTTTTCAAAACAATTTGTGATACAGCATCAAGGGCTGCAGTTGGTAGGCAAAAAATGCCACTAGGTACACACAAGACCTTAATGATATCTAAAGTTAGATCTTAGTCTGTGAGGGTGATGATGTTATCCTGATGGTTTGCTGCTGTGATGGTGGGGCAAGAAGTGCAGGAAACAGTAGAAATGTGTAAATTTGTACAGTGCACTATATGGTGCACTGCTAGTAATGGTAACCTAGTGGTAACACAGGAGTGATAATTTGTTGTTTTTTTGGACAGACCAGTAAGGTAAATGTGACAGCAAAAAGCACCTTTATGGCAGTTGCTCAAGATGGATTGTATTATCTATGATGCCATGTCAGTCATATTACTGCATGCTATGATACTGGTTTATTGTTGAGGCAAGTATATGAGTACCACACCTACTATATTAGAGTCATATAATTAGATGAGGAAATTAATGCAAAGGCCATTTATTTTTAGAAGATTCAAAGTTCAGGTACTTTTAACAACCTATAAGGAACAAGGAACTTTGCACTTGGCTTCTAAGACTTTATATTTGCTTTAGATTTAGTCCTTGACAGGTGTAATTTTGAGTGTGTGCCTCAAAGAATCTATGAGTGTTTGTGCCCTGGATGCATCCTTGTGCAATGTTTTGTGGCGAATGTTGAATAGGCGGTCATAGGTCTAGTTAATGCTGACAGAGGAGACCAGTTGACTTTGAGGCTGCCACCATCCTTGTTTCCTTGCAGTTGCTCAGCGTATGGGCAGCTACCTGGGAGCCACTGGGAATAGTAGAAGGGCACCAGAGCAGGAAAGGTTGATACAAACCTCCTACTCTCAACTGCAAAAAAATAAAAATAAAAAAAGGCTGTACATAATTACCTGGAAGGTAACTGCACTAAATGTAGCAGGACTTTTTTGAATACACACGCACAGATTTGCATTGTTGTTGCCCCGAACATTTAAACATGTGCTTTGCAAATCCTAAGAAGTGTGAAGGCTCCTAAATCTATTGCTTCATCTGGAATCAGAGGTGGTAGCTGTGCCTACAGCATGATTCCTCTCTTGCCCCTTTCCCTTCAAATATTCTTACCCTGCTGAGAAGACTGTGACCTTCTATCTCAAAGTTATATAAATAAAAGACATTTCATTGTAGCAATTTCTGCATTTTTTCTGGAAACAAGTTATTTTGTTATTTTGTTACTTTAGTTTCCTGTATGCCAGAAACCAAACTTCTCCAATTCACAACACTAAATTCAGCATGTTCATCTTGAACAGAATGGTTAGCTATGTAAACTGTACAGATTATCCATATGTTTGAATTCAGTGTAAAGGAAGAGACATAAAGGATTTGGGACTGAATACTGGATACATGGCAAAGCACATCTGATCACTAATAAGTCTCCAGAATCTCTGCATACTGATTCTTCAGTATGTTTTGTTATTAAAACATTTGTATGCTGCATTTCTCCCACAAAAGCAACAATTCAAAAAATGTTGTATCTGATTAGTGTACACACTAATCAGGTTGGGGCACTCAAGACTGTTTTCTCCTTCATGGGCTCACTGATTTCTGTGTCCCCCAGCTGAAGCATTCCCCTTATCACTTGCATCAGTCAAGGTGGGTAGGGCCAGATTGATACTCTGGCAGTGGCCCCAGGGGCCATCTCCGTGTGATGGGTTATGATTCCTGTGTGTCCGGACTGGTCTGAGAACACCTGAATGATCTGTTTTTCTAAGGCCCTGACCTGTTTTCCCTGGTGTTAACTGAGAATTGAGGGCTACCCTCCTGAGGTTCTTTGACAGTACCTCTGGGGTCCCTTGCCTCTCTGGCATGTAATCTGCCTGATGGCCAGAACACTTTCTTTCCCTCCAGGTGATAAATCTGGTTGAGCGTTTCTTTTTGGTGAGACATATCCTGTAATCTACTGGCCCCAACCTTCTAATAATTTCATAGGGTCCTGCCATTGGGTGATCAACTTGCCCCCCTCCCCCAAGGGTAAGAGCAATAGTATGTAGTGTCCCAGTTGGAATGTGTGAGGTTGAACCTGTGTCTCACGATAATATTATTGTCCCTCCTGGCCCTGTCTGAGGTTATCCTCTGCCTGCTGAGCCAGGTCAGTGAGGTGCTTCCTCATTTCTAGCACATGTTGGAGGGTGGAGGTGGTTTCTGGGTTTGCAGCTTCCTGACCAAATCCAAAATTCCTCATGGATGTCACTTGTATAACAATCCAAAAGGTGAGAACCCCCATGAGGATTGAAACACCTCCCTTATTGTGGACATCAAACAAAATGTGTCATTGGCGTGTATAGGTTGTTACAGGATTCCACCACATCTGCTTGAGGAAATCCGTTCCACTAGCCCGTTTGCTCAAGGTTATACACATTTGCTCAAGGTTACACACCATGGCCTGCAAGGGTCTTATTTTTAACAGAGCCCACATCTGCCTCAATGCACAACACATGAAGTTAGTGCCCTGATCTGTTAACTCCTTAGGAAAACCCACCTCTGGCGGGAACTCCCATTAGCTTGACTCTTGTGTCCCACGGCCCTGCTGGTCCCATAGACCACTCCTCTCCACGTTTGCCTGTGTGTTTTTGTGGGACATTTAGGGTCCCCAAGAGGACTGCTGTCACTAAATCAGAGGTAAGCATCTTTGGTTATTGGGCAGTTCAAAAATAATAAATATAGTATCAGTGAGTCATTGCAATCTGTTATAGTGTTGCTGTCACTGTTGTAGTGACAAGGTGTTCATCTTGTTAATGATCAATAATCTTCAGTGTAGTGCTTTAAAAAAAGCTTGCAAACAAAAGTGTTACTAATATTTTGCTAGGACTCATGCCCACCTTCATTAGTTCATTGTAGGCAAAGCTGACAAGATGAGGATCTAAGGGTGTATGTTTAGACCAAAAAATGCTCTACAACTCCTACCATTCCACAGCCAGCACCATAAGAGTATTTGTCAGCCTGCTCAATCAAGTTGTACATCCTATGGCTCCTTCATCTTCAGGAGCCATGAAATATTTGGGTGGAAAAGAAACATGGGCCATTGAGGTGGGAAAGTAGAGGGCCTTGTATGAGCCTCTTAGGTTGTATTAGAGGAAAGCTTGCCAGTCTGGCTGAAACCCTGTACTTTTGTTAGAAGTTTCCTTTATATAGATCATGTTTTTCTTTTCTTCAGAATCATGTAATCTAGGAGGGGATATTGGGCTGTCAGTTTTGTGTTGATGTACACTTGCATTTCAAATAGAACTGTGAGGTATGGTTCATCACACTTAAACATATTCTTGTCAGTGTTGATCGAAAGTATTCTGGTTCTGTTTTTATGGCTCAGTGCATATGTGAACAAGTGACCCCCCCCCCCCAGTTAACCCCAGTTAATTATGGCACAGTGTTGTGCTGATCCTATCTGTGGCTTGCTTCCAGAACAGTTTGGAATCTGGCATCTCGGACTAGTGGTGCAGATCTAGCACTGCACCAGAGTTAGCATTAAAACTAAGCAGGAAGGAACTGGGAGAATGTTCCCAGTTGCATAGCCATCATTAAAAACCACTAGCATTATATCCGGCGTAAAATGAAATCTGATAGACAAGCAACTGCCACTGTAAATGTGATCATGTTCTTAAATTCTGCAAGAGGAAAAAGATGTTTGCATGGTAAATTTAGTGGAAAGACTAATTCCCCTGGTCTTTTAATAGCAGATCTGCACTGTATCATGTTAAGCTAGCATGTGCCAAGTAGGCACAAAGCAATTTTTAGCAGCACTTGAACTCGTGTGAAGGAAAAAAACCAGTTAGCTTTAATATCTCTTCCAAATACTGTTAGAAAAAACGTTAACACTTAGGTTTGTGAAGACAAACAAGTTTATCTGGAAAACTAGGCTTTAATCATACCACTAGGGCTTATCTTTATACAGATTACTACTTTTTGTTTAGTTGCAATACTTGGCCAGATTTGCTTTTCCCATGTCATGCCCTTCCCTGGCGTCATGTGGTGCACATTGCTGTCATGGGAGAGGCATGTGCAAGGACCTTGATGATGCTAAGAGAAGGAACTCCTCTCACTGCTGGCCAGGTCCTCTGTATCCTTGCTGCAGTATTCAGCTAGAGCTAACACTGGGTTTGCCCTGCACCTTTGCTGAACTGAACAGCGATTCCTCCAGGAAGTGAGGCTTGGAGTCAGGCTCAGCTCTTGGAAGAATCCGAGAAGGGCTTGTGGGCTAGATAGGGAACCCCCATGGGCTGGTAGTTCCTTATTTCTGCTCCAGGTGAAGAAACCTTTTTTAAAATTCAAATACTATATATATGTATAATGTACACTATAATTATTTTCTAGTACTGCAGATTGCCTTCCTTATATTAACACCTTCATATTGTACCTAGAATGAGTAAGATTTTGCTTTAAAGCACTTAACTAATTGCAAAAAAGGAAATTATTTCATAGGGACATTTTCCAAATGTTCTCCCAAATGTCCAGTCTTTCTGTCAGAAAAATTGAAAAAAACTTGGCATAAAATCCAGGGAAGTATTTTCCTATTTTTTTCAGGATTTCTTTTTCAGGCCCTTATATCTGCCTCAAACCTATAGGAACCAAGCTAATCACCTTTAAATGCTGAGCTTTAGTGTACTTCAGATCTCCGAATGTGGATTCAGATACTGCCATGTAGGCTATTCAACCAACTTTCCATCCACAAGCACAGTATGACCGTCAAACCTCT